TAACACCCACTTACTTACGCAGTTTTCACGAAGATTTTGACATTCACCAACGATTTCTTATTTGTTCTCAGGTAAGAACAAATCTCTTTGTGCGAACGATTCTGCGGGTTAGGAAGAACTAATTTAAGAAAAAAAATAGGAAGACACTGGTGAATGTGGCCCAATGTTAGAACTCAAAATCAGTTTGTAATGCAATGGAAATGTGCTTTATTATCTGAAAAGCCAAAAACTGAAACACATTGAGTTTACATAACTCAAATGTGTCGGTCGGTTGAACACGAATAAAAAGTGCTTCAGAACAATTGCAATTACCTGCAAGCTTTTGGCGAGTTTTTTGTTTATGTAACGTTTTATTCAAGTGTCACACCTGAATCATATGAATTCAAACCACCATTTTTCAGTAAAAGAAATACAAAAGATCCAAACTCAGTCGCAGGAGCTCACACTGATTACCGTGACGAGTAAGTTCATTTCAAAACCGTGTGAATTTAACTACGTGTCATAACGTATTCAAAACTGTTTTCCATTCTGTCTTTATCTCACGAGACTCATGAAGCTTCCGCTCATCAGTTGTGGTGTAGGCCTGTGGTGTTTTCCCTGTGTTGACACATTTAGTTTGCAATTATGTTTTACTCTCTTAAAATGGTTTTATTGCTTATATAACAGCGTTTATTAGACTTAAACACGAAATCTTCCGTATATCCTAAGGATTCATAACAAGTAAACTAAGAAAAAACATGACACCTAAAGTCAATATTTTTATTAATATCAATGAAAGATCATTCGGTATTTGTCACGCGCAAACACTTATCAAACGATATTGGCTCACGACAAAGAGAATAACAGGCAATATAACACATACTGCATACCTGATTATTATGTCTGAAATATGAAATATGAAACAGTAGTAAACAGCAATGCACGCTGTGAAAAGTATAACAGATACAGAAAACAATCAAGATGTTATTAATTAATTTGTATAACTGATAATCTGTAACCAACTCCGAACAGACTGTGCTTATGAAAAATAGAACAGGAACAGGAAAAAACAGGAAACTTCATGAAACTTTATAATACAGCCCAGTTAGTGACAGTGAGCAGGGATGAGGCCCTGGTGGTGATGGCCTGAGACACCTCTGCTCCAGGCTTGTGTAAGTGAGGGGGTCATTTCTGAATAACAGTTTATGATTATCAAAAACAGGATACTGGGGGCGCTGTGTAAACAGCATACAAACCTTCATTTTAAAAACATGCACGCTGGGTATAAATCTTTCACTTTGACATTAACATTTTTTTCTTTTTCTTTCTTTTTATTTTAGTAATAAGAATCTTCTTATGAAATTGATTTAAATACAAAATTTAACAGATTAACTGGGCTCATAATTTTCGAAATGAGCACGCACTGTCGAATTTATTTATTTATTTACCTTTTATTTCGGGTCAAATTATATTCAGACGAAAACGCTGCTTTTTTGTCGTGACTATTTGACAGCAGGAATATTATTATTATTATTATTATTGTTGTTGTTGTTGTTGTTGTTGTTGTTATCATTTTTAGTATTATTTATTATCATTATTATTATTTGTTAATTACTACAGCAAATATTTTGATGCTGCAGAAAAGGGAAGTTTGTGTTTGTGCCGAAGCCCATTTTCTGACTAACAGCCCGTTAGAGAGAGTGACCGGGCCTACACTACTGGGTGAGCTCCCGTTCTCTGGCTCTGCTCGAGCTGTTCTCGCTGTGCAGTGAAACAGAAGGAGCTGAGAAGCGGCGCATTGCCTTACCAGATGAAGGTCTGTCCGAGTATCTGGTGCAGTAAACCCAGGCAGGCCAGAGCAGCGGCTGGCGCTCCTTACCGACCGCCGCTTCTCCACCTGCTTTAGGCGGAGGTGAGGACACTGTGGAGGAGGAGGAAGAAGAGGAAGAGGAGGACACGCTGTCGGCGCAGCACTCAGAATCCGGAGTCCCGGGCAGCGTGGGTCTGTCAGCGGGCGCGCGAGCCTGCTGCCCGCCCGTGCCCGCTTGGCGCTCTTTCCTGCAGCCGAAGTCCGGCCGGAGGATGTCGTCGATGAAAAAGTTGGTGGTCCTGTGCGGGAGCTGCACCGGCTCACTCGGATCCGGGCTCTCGGGCTCGTGCCGCTCTTCCATCCCCACAGCACTGTTCTTCAGGAGCACGCTGGGGCTGGTGTTGGGGGTTTATGGGGGTGGTAAACGTGCTCGTGCCCCACCGCGACGGAGCATAAAGGCGTGGAGAAGCGTTATCTAATGCGGCACGCAAATCCCCTCCATGCAACGAGGCGCATGTTTTTATAAAACGTGCGCCAGAGTGGCAGTGACTGGAGAGAGAGACACAGAGAGAGACAGAGAGAGAGGGGGGCTCACAGTCCGTGTTGTGTCAGAACTGACGGCGCATGGTGCACGGCCCACGATTTATGACACGCTGGTGTGTCGGGGTATCTGTTTGCGCACGGTCTCTCTCTCTCTCTCTCTCTCTCTCTCTCTCTCTCTCTCTCTCTCTCTTCCTCTCTCTCTCTCCCTCTCCATGCAGAAACGCACCATGCAGACATGTTCGAAGAGCCGTTAAGTGTTATTTCCCACCCGTATTCTGCATAACACCACCCTACCGCGCGGGGATTGGCTGCTGTGTACTCGCCTCCTGCAGTAGAATTGGTTAGCAGTTCATGTTTACAGGCAGTTCTCTGACTGGAATTGGTCGGAAAGCAGGAGGAAAAAATAACGCCGTCTCCAAACAGAGCGACGGACCCCAGCATGCAGAAATCCCAGAAATCCCCCTGCTGACGGGCGCTGTTCAAATGGAATAACTAAGCGCAGGGGGGCTCTTAATTAGCATAATAAACTGTAACACATAGATTGAAATTGGGAAATTTAAGTTCAAACGCAGCCCCCTTTGAAAAAACAGAAGTAAAAAATATGTTTGTGTAAAATAAGCGTCTGTTCATAAATCACATCTTCTACATCTATAGTTACATTTATACAAAAATGATACTCTGTGTGCTAGAATTTGTATATCTTCTGTATTATAATGAGTTTGGAATGATAGTGTGCAAATAAATATTTTTTAAATGCAACTTTTATATAGATATTTATTAATGTTGTAGTGTTGTTGATGTTGTTGATGTTGTTGCTGTTGTTGTTGTTGGTGGTGGTCCTGCCATTAGTGATAATATACCATCTTAATCATAATAAACTGGTTGAGAAATATTAGAAGTAGCCATTCTGCTCAATGATGTCCCCGTGTGGGCCAGGCCTGAAAACTCTATCCAGGGAGCCGCGCTGTTGATTAAATTCTAATTAGGACTCTACGGCTCGTTGTGAAGAGGATCCTTTGTCCATCGGTTCCATTCAGACGCTTTAAGGGCCGCTATCTCTCCTGCAGGATAGAGCGCGCCGAGCGCGTCCGCCCGGGATAATTTATAGGTTTTAATTACCCCGCATTCAGCGCGATCAGCTGGGCGTTCATCATACCGGGCTGAATGCAGCCCCCCACCGTCAAAAGCGCAGTCACAGCGCTGCGACGCTCCGCGCTGGTCCAGGGGGTCCGCACAGACAACATTTACATAAATGACTTAATTGACGGCTAAACGTTCGGTGATTAATTTTAGCGCTCACTAAGGAGCTTTTTTCTCCCACAATGAAAAGATGATAAATGCCGCTTTCAGTTCGGACTCCATTCTAACAGCTACTGCTAAATCCGCTGGCCGGACGAACACGTTTCTCTCCTGCACTCCGCCGAAATGACACAGTCCGAACCTGCAGCTCAGCCAGCCGCCCGCTTTACCTGCGAAACAGTGGCGCGCGCATATTACTATTAGATATGAGGCAGGAGGAATGCATGGATTTTCTTTGTCTTAAACTTATTTCGATTTATAATTCAAAAAAATAAATTCATAAATAAATAAATGAATAAAATTTAAAGACCAACAACTCCGCAGAAATCCTGGAAAACACAATGTTTATGTCTTCGGTAGCGAATATAGGTCCACAACTCAAACCGGATGACTAATTTAAGTATTAATGCTCAGGTTTAATAAATGAATGTGTCGCTGTTCTGGTGGTAGATGCTGGTGGGCTAATGATGATATTAGTGTTATAAACTGTACCGTGCACGGTTTACTGTGGCTCTGTGAACACACAGTTGTGATGGTCGTGATAGTCGTGATCCGCACGTGTGACTCAGCAAACCGACGTGACCTGCCGAGTACATATCCACATCCACATCCACATTCTATTCTATTCTATTCTATTCTATTCTATTCTATTCTATTCTATTCTATTCAGCAGAAATACGCCATATGCATACTGTTCTAATTCTATAAGCATTTATTGGTCTCAATTTCCTTTCATTTGAACGAGTTGCAGTGGAGAACATTATTTATATTATTTTATTTCACTATGAAATTCAAACCGTTCTTCACAGTGTTTGGAAACGACAGTATGAGTCCTGTGCAGTCAGCTGTAGACGGACAGATGAAAAAGTGGACCTCAGTATGAACCTACACGAAAATAAATGAATAAAAAACAAACGTTATCGCTGCCTGCTTTGTATTTTAGGCTCTGTCTAGGTCTATATCTGTTCATCGTATGCTACGTGTTTTACTTCTACTTTCCTGAGCATAATAGGCTTTATGGCATTTCATGTGCAGCTGGCAGATAGATTTAAACCATGTTAGATGGATAACTGCGGAAAAGTTTGACCACATTCACATTAGGTGTTTTTTATGCTTTGACGAACTCACGCATGCCGTGTAACAGCGATTTAACACGCAGATTATCAGCATCACAAAATGTAATTTATAGACCAACACATGCGCATCAGGATCAGCTAAGTTTTTTAGTTGCAGAAGAGGATTTGGTTGGAAAAATATAATATAATATAATATAATATAATATAATATAATATAATATAGAATCTATGTACTGTAAGGGGAAGGGCGAGCTGAACTTTGGGTTTAAGGGAAGTAGATCACCGCAATTTACAAAGTTTTTACATGTTTGTCTCTATAGTTTTGCGCTTGAGCTAAGAGGCTAATATAACAAATTACTTTAAAATATTTTGGTAACGTAGACTTTGTGAGCATAGATTCAGTGCATGTCTTGTCTGACTAATTCTCTTGGGTTAAGGGTGAAACAGTGTAAATCTGATTTGCAGTGAACTACTTCTTTAACACTCCCACTCAGGTACAGCCTGGATCATTTTTACAGTCTTGGCAAGTCATAGAAAATGTAGCAGTAGAGAACAAACAAAAGTAATTTCTCTAGGAAACGTCCACGCATTTATGCTGACAAGAACAAACTGGTTGCACGAGCTACATTTTCTTTATGGACAACCCACCAAAGCACAGGACGAGGTGTTCGTGAAAACCTCTCACGCCATCTAGCGGGCAGTGGGATTTCATGAAGCGCGGGTCTTGGGGCATGTTGAGGGTGTAGCTTTGATGCAATGTCACCCCTGTCCAATACAACATACTTAATTGGAATACCATGCATTTTCTGTGTTTTAAAATGGGTTTATAGTTATTCTTCAAACTGTTTTGGCTTTGGAAACCTACTGCTCTGAAACCTGACTCAATCTTCCTCCTTTAGCGCTTAGTTTTCTAGTCTGAGAATCTGCCAAGTGAAAGTTTTCTAGGCTTAAAATGAGGCCTATGTGCACTGTTAAAAAGAGACCATTACATTAGGCTGGCTATGTGATGAAAAATAATCTGTTAATCTGTTGAACGTACTAATGCAAATCTAGTTCTATTTCTTGTATAATGCCTTATTTACTAAGATAAAGATCAGTTTGGAAAAGTCCTACAGACTGAAGAGTCTTTTGCCCCAAAAAGCTTCCCAGCATTCTTAGCACTTTTGTTAATTTCTGTTAATCAACTTAATTTTTTTTTCTAATTTTTAACTAGTTCTCTTTGCATAAAGTTATTTGAGTATCAAAGCATATTGTCATGTTAAAATGTTATACTTGGACATATGTGCTTGTTATTCTCACCAAGATGGTGTTTTGTGTTTAGGTTTACCAGGTCAGCCTGTAGCCAGGTGTGCTCTCAAGTAGTGAACATAAGCCCCAAACAGTTTGGAAGTATAATTGCAAAAATGCCTAAGGCCTTTTGAGTCCTCAGAAAGGGGTGTCTCTTTTATTATTTTCATTACTGTACAAAAAATGGATAAGAAAATATGTAGCTATTGAATATGCAGCCATCTGTTCATGACTGTATGAATCCATTTAAAAGAATGCAGCTGTTTCAAAGTTGATACCAGTGCATTGCTCACAGATAAATATTTGCAGTAAAGCATAATTGAGAGGTTAACCTGATGGAATTGAGGGTAAACAGAACTTGAAAAAGTAGAGTACTGCCAGCTCAACTGAAACTATTTACAATTATTGAACTGTTTGAGTTTACTTGCTGAAGAAGTGTGGATAACTGAAAATAGAAAATATTCATAACTGAAATATAAAGTTATTTAAACTTGAACCTGTTAAGAGGCGATGCATGATTTTTAAAAAGTCAACTGTTGTAAGTTTACAGTGCATCTTTGTTATAACAATACCAAAGATTTGACTATGAAATGAAGAAGTACTCTGCATTAAGCACACTGAACATACTTTGGTGTGATTTACACTGGCCTTCCGTTTCTTACTCAGCAGTAAGAATCAAAAGGCCAGAATGGAATTCACAAACAAATACAGAGATGAGCCAGAAAAGTTCTGGAACAGGTTTTACAGACTAATGAGACCAAGCTTGATTTCTACCAAAGTGATGTACCATGTAAGATTTACAGCACATGTATTCTGGACTGAAGTCATACTCAAGCCACGCCCACATGCTGCCATGCTTTCAAGTATTTTGAGTAATTACCCCATCAACCCGGGCAGTTTGCAATTCATACGTGTAACTCAATAAAGGTGAACTGTATATAGCAGAATGTGTAGGCTATTCTAGTTATAAATACACATTTGAATCTTAATGTATAAACATATCTTTAAAAAAACATAACAGCAAAAAATTTAAAATACAATACACAAATATCTTTAGGCTCCTTTTTCCTTTTCTTTTGTTTTAATTTTTGCCCAATCTTTAGTCATTTTCAGTTCCACCTGCTACCTAAGTTTCCTCCTATCTCACAATAGCTACCAGTCTTTGCAAGCTGCTGCCGACCCTATGTCATTGTACAACTGACTGCATTTGGTGGACAGGGCTTACTGAGAGATTCTGTATACATAACCTATTGGTTATCCCTCCCAAATGTTAGGATCAAATATATGGAAGACCCAAAACTTGATTCACATTTTTCACATCTATAACTTGACACTTGTTACGACCTGGTCTAGGGTCAGGCCGTGACAGAGAGTGAGAGTGGGCTCTCTCCCCAGATCTGCTGCCAGACCTGACACTGGACACCATTTAAAAAATGACAGGTTTATTTTCTTCAAAGCTCAGACAAGTTGAGGTGATGGCTTCAGGGACAAGCATTCGCCAAAATA